AGGCAGAAAAGTACTTGGCTGGTTTCCTAGCCTCGGCTATGCCTCGGCTATGAAACACCAGCCGCGGCATTAAATCTGCTTTTCTGCCATGTAAAACATATAATTTTTTCTCCGAATGTTCAAATTCACACATAGACATCTTTTTTATATTTATTTCATTCATTATTATTATCCAAATAATTAAATTATTTTGACAATGGGCTCTTTCACTAATTTTTGAAATTGGCATATTTGGATAAAGCAACTAAAGACAGAATTTTCTGTATTTTTACTTTTGAAAAATTCATAGTCCTTCTTGAGAAAACAGAAAAAAAAGAATTACCTCCAAATAAAAACCCAGAATTTATTTCTAGAGGTCTGTTCCCACAGGAGTCTCTGACAGTTTGCAAACTGTCAGTAAGCATCGCCCATACATGTTCTCAATGTTGTCGTTACAAGATAAATCTGTAACTCAGCTGAGCGATTGTTTTTGACAGGTTGCAAACTGTCGGAGACTCCTGTGGGAACAGACCTTATGACGTCGCAGCAAGCAATTTGACCGTGTTGCCACTAATAATTGTCGACATTGAAAATTTGTAATAGATTTAATTCTGAAATGTTCGCAAAATATCATGAAAAGTAGTTAAATTAATCACTTATGGATTCAAGATTTTATAACTTTTTTATTGAAATTATGTTTAAACACAATTTAATACAATTTTTTATGTTTAGTTTTATTTTATTTTTTTACGTTGCACTACATCTAGTCACCACCGACAACAGCGCATTCGAACCTTTACCTGCTTTTACTACAGGGTACACAGCCGAGGCGGTAAGCTCCTTTGTAACAACAAGCGAAATGAAAAATATTTATGTGACGTCAGCAAATCGGCGCGTTTCAATTTAATTTGAATTTAGCCAATTTGAAATGCCTGTAAAAAACTTATTTAACCTTGTAGAACTTTTTTTTTTGGTATATATGCCTAAAATAGCCCCTCCTTTGGGATTTTATACTCAAATTACGTATTCAAATTTTAGTGAAAGACCCTATTGTCATTGTCACCATCAATTTCAAATAGCAAATTAGGTGAAATTCTTACCTGGAACGTTGTGACACTGTCACTTTTAATGCCTAGGCAGTAAAAGTCCACTTTTACTGCCTAGGCAGTAAAAATACAACTTTTGATCCTGTCAAGTGTCATTAAAAGGCCGCTTTTACTGTAATTCGGAGAAAAACTATATTTTGACAAGTTGACAATGATATCAGTGACAGTGTGTTTCTGTTATTTGACAAATATTTTCAGTTTTGAAGTTAAGAATTTTGATTTGATTTATTATAACTCTATCATTTATTAAAATGGTGTTGTTTGATAATCTTCATAAAGTTCACATGTTCGAGTGTTACGTTGAAAGCGGAAAAAATGAATATGCAGCTCTAAACTCATATTTTCAGAGATATCCAGAGCGTCGTCAGCCAGAAAAGCGAATTTTTAGGCGCTTAAATAATAATCTGAGTGATTTTGGCACATTCACAAAACCTAGAAGCAAATTTTATAATATCGAAAATGGAGAAAATAATGAAATCAGTACTTTTGCTTGAGTTGCTGCAAATCCTAATGTGTCTAGCAGAGAAATTGAAATGACGGTAGGAGTAGGCAAATTCACAGCTTTAAAAATATTAAAAAAACACAAGTTTCGGCCATACACTATAAGAAAAGTCCATAATTTGCATCCTGGAGACGAACGTAGAAGAGTTATATTTTGTCAATGGTATCGGCAGAAATGTCAGTTGAATCGAAATTTTTTCCAAAATGTGATTTGGACCGATGAAGCCTTTATAACAAGTGAAGGTATATTCAATAGGCACAACGCTCACTATTGGTCAACTGTGAATCCTCACCAGACTGTAGCTAGGGTCCAGCAAGGCCGATTTGGTTTTCATGTTTGGGTAGCCCTCTTTCAAAATAGAGTGTTTGCATATCAAATTTATGAAGAGAATCTCAACGCTCAGAGTTATGTAAGAATGTTGGAAGAACATATTATTGATGCAATAGACGGTATGCCACTAGCTGAGAGAAATCGAATATTTTTTTAGCAGGATGGCGAGCCTGCACATAATTCTCGTTTAGTTAGAGAATTACTAAATGCCAATTTTGGAGGTAACTGGATCGGTACATACGGACCAAACAGGTGGGCACCTAGGTCACCAGACCTAACACCTCTGGACTTTTTTTTTGGGGGGGAACTTAAAAATAAAGTATATAAAGTTAGATCGAACAATATAGAAGAATTGGGAGAACATTTTGAAAATGGTATTCGGAATGTATCAAACATCCACATTTATAATGCCACCCGCTCTGTTGCCAAGCGTTGCCAACTATGCATTAACCAAAATGGCCGGCAGTTCCAGCACTTGCTCCGATGGGTAAGAAGTTATAGAGGATTATAAAAATAAGCTGATTTTGAAAAACACCCTGTACCTCGCAAACCAATCTAGTTGGCTAAGATCTGACTACACCATCAAATGACACACTAAAAAAGAGGACGGGAAGCGTATATCAGTTTCTCAGTATCTTCGGCCATTTTGGCTGTACCCTATAAAACCATCGAAAATCAACCACCCTGCTATTATTTCATACTATTTTGTTAAAAGTTATGTTTTAGACTTTTAGTTTTCAAATGTGTGTAAACAAATTACCTGTATGATTTGGTAACCGATTTTTGTTTACGTACTAATCAATGAACTAAACAAACACACTGGAACGGTGGCTGAATAATGTTTCCTACGTAAGGGTTTGTGTCAGGAAGGACAACAAACAAGCGGGATTTGCATCTCTCTCTGCACTATGGCGGCTATTGAGAACAGCTGTTTGAAGTGTTTGAATCATTGAGGTTAGGAAGATGAAGAACCTCTTCTTTCTTTTACGTTAATCGCAATAAGTGCGAGTGAGACAACAATCCCACTGTATTGCTAGGTTGCATATATCAAAATTCGGCACACTAGCATAAAGCAGTGCGCCCGTTTCAGAGTGTTTGTTTAGTTCAATGGTACTAATGGAAAGAAAGATTGTCAGTACTGACGTAAAGTCTGAATTTGACATTTCAGTCAAAAAAAAAATTAACAAGCTGAGACCGGTAAAAGAACATTTTACCGGACTCAATAGATAGGTAGGTACTGTAAAAGTTTATTTTACCAGACTCAATACTGTAAAAGTTGATGTTGCGGATTTAAGAACGTATAGTGTGTTTTACGATACAGTATGAAATTAAAAGTTTTTGGAAAGTCAGTAAATTCAGTAGATTGTAAAAATCAATTTCGTCGTTTATGTTTTGACTCAATGAGAGACGTTTCACAAATTAGTAAAATAGTACATTAAAATACAAGTTTCATAAGACGTCATTTTATCGCACGAGCCCTATATTAGAAAACGAGCCGGAGGCGAGTTTTCTAAAGGGCGAGTGCGATAAAATGTCTTATGAAACGAATATTTTATAGTATTTTTTCTATTTTGGTATTGTTTAATTAAAAAAAAACAATTTTTTCTTGGGAATTTTATTCTCATATTTCCTGATTTCATATGTTTAGGTTGGTAACACTGCATGCCAAATATAGAAATCTTGTATTATAAAATCGCGAATGACAGTTCGATGGCCATCATTCAGCCAGTGTAACCAACCTCCGATAAGTAAAAAAGGAGTGTCACAAAGAGCTTCTTTTCGAAACTACTTTTAGTGTCGAAAAGACTTCGATATGACATCAAAATAGAAAAAATATTTTTTTTTTATGTTTGTCATTAAACAGACTAAGGGCGCGTATTATAAAACTATGGTATTGTGACAAATAAATAAAAGTTAACTTCATGATGATGTCACATCTTATAAAGTCCGTTGATTTCAATATGATACTCTAAAGGAATGTGAGCTGATGGCTTCCTACATTAGAACGCCAATGGTCACCTGACGCCACACCTGTTTTTGCCATAAGCTTCACCCCCTCGCTCCTCATTCAGAAAGTGTCAGATTAAAAACGACGGACAATAAGTCATTCCAGAAGTTAACTTTTAGTTATTTGTAATAATAGTTAAATACTACCCGCACCCCCCTTACTCAATTTTGAAATATCGGTGTTTTTATCACAAGTGTTTTTTCTTACATTTATTTTTAACACACAGTTCCTTATACAGGGTGGGGCATGAAAAACTTCCCACCCAGGTTTTCTCAGGTGTTAAGTGATGTTAGTTAGTTAGAGTGACGTCAATTTTTGTTTTCTGATGGGGGACACCTTTTATTAGTATTTTCACCCTCTACCTGTCAACCCCTGTGGGTGGGGGTGGCAGGTACCCCCAAAATTTCAAATGGAAAGAGGGGTCGAGTGATACGTCATTTGATAGCTATTTTCATTAAGATTATATCCTCGAAGTTTTAAGTTGCTACTATTTATGCCGAAATGGCGGCATGTTAAAGTTAGGATAAATGCTTTGTTTCGATAATCTAAACTGTATAGTTTGTACCTGTCACATCTATACGCAGGTAATAGGTAAAAATCACACAGAATTTTTCCATTGATTTTTCCTAACTTTGACAAGCCGTCATTTCGACAGGGTAAATAGTAGCAACCTAAAACTTCGGGGATATAATCTTAATGAAAATAGCTATCAAATGACGTATCACTCGACTTCCCTTTTCATTTGAAATTTTGAGAGAACCTGTCACCCCCACTTAGGTGTTGACAGGTAGGGGGCGAAAATACCAATAAAATGTGTATCTCAAAAAACAAAAATTGCCGTGTTCGAGCGATTTTTAATTATTCACCTAACACCTGAGAAAACCTGGGTGGGAAGTTTTTCGTGCCCCACCCTGTATGTATAACGAAAACTCTTAGGCAAGAAGATTTTGTATGAAACTCATTTAAAATATCAGAAGTGACCCACATCACCCTTGCTTGAGAAAAATACATACTTTTGAAGTAAACCTATAATTTCCCCTTAGAAAAAAAAAGGTTAAATAAATGGACCATCCTGTAATATAATATCTTACCTTTAATGCGGATAAGTACAAAAAATTATTTCAAAGCAATTGCAAAAGTTTCCAATAATGGTGAAAAATCTTGACAAAGAAAAACCTATACTTATGGCACATACGATCCAAATAAAATAATGCTCAAGTTGCCAAGAAAAATAAATTGACTTATAAATTATCACTTCATAGTTTCAGTCCACATAATCCAATATCATCATAACCTGTCATTCCCAAAGTCCGTTATTTTATTCTCGGATAATAATACAGCACGGACGATCCTGGCAATTGCCAATTTGAAGCGTGCAACTCGATCAATTGAAGCAAAGTACGTCTCACGCTTGCCGAACCGGCGCTTGCCAAAAATCCGTCGCGGACACTGGCCAATAGCAGTTCGAGTTGTTGTGGAATTTCCGATTCCAAATCGCGTCCGATAGACGTCAAAACAAAAAACAAACATTCACTTTCCGATAAGCATTTGATTGGTAAGCTTACGCATGCTTGACAACATTTGGCTAAGACTGAGAGGAGCACTAGTTCCGGTTGAAGTAATTCTTGATTTTCTTTGATTTGTTGACGTTTGAGTAGACCATAAAGCTCTGTTAGGAACCACATAAAGGCTGTAAATCTGGTGCCGTCTCCTGCTTTGATGCCCCTTAAAATTTTGTCTTTTTCTTGATACCATTGTTGGCAAGTGTTCAATAATGACTCAAGGAACGTTTGGTTTTTTTCTGCTTCTATTATTGTAACGCACAACTTGGCTATTGACTCACTATATTTAATGCCTTCCACTGCTTTTTCCATTATTATTTTTACCAAGTCCATTAAAGTCCTAGAAGGTAGTTGATTGGGATCATCCATTGCTTGTTTAATGTTTGCCTGATCTTCTTCAGCAAATACTTGAATGTCAATGTCTTCTTTAACTATACTTTTTAATTTGGTTACAAGATTTTGGGAGTCTGAAGCTCCTAAGCTTTTCGATCGTTTCAGTGAAGGTGAAGGAGCTGATGCAGGAGGATTATTCTGATAGTTATTAGGTGCCCAATTATTTTGATGATACATTTGTTGTGGGTGGTTTTGTCCAGAAAATACAGGATGCGCAAGTAATTCTGGCGCGTACTGATGATAGTTAGGTCTTTGCATTGCTCCTATAAGTTGAGCAGCTGAAGCTGAATGTAAAAGAGGCAAGGGCATTCCTGCAGGAAGGATTGGGATAAATCCCGGGTGATTCACGTGCCGTAAAATATTTCCACTTGATTTAGAATGTTGCAGAGGCATTGGTTCAAAACCCATGGCTAAATGAAGATTGCCACTGGATTTAGATGCTTGAAGTTCATTCATAGTAAATTCTTTTGCATGAACGTTTAACTTGCCTGGAGGTATGTCAGTTCTAACATTGGGTGGTCTATAAATTTCCATTGTTGGTTTACCCGCTCTTATTGTGGCCATTGTTTGACTGCGACGTTTCAAGGAATCCCGATTAGGTTTTACGAAACTTCTTTCCCGCATTAGGATACCGGGAGGACCGGGAGAAAAATCCGTTTTTTGACTGCGTTTTAACTGTTGAGCTTGCGACATTTTAACGATCTCACTAACACTAAAAATTAAATTAAGTTTGTAAATAACTTTTGACTAATAAATCGCCACTACCACGCAACACGTCCAATTTTGGTTTGGGCAAGGCTGCAACTCGGTGTTATAACGTTAGGCACTTTCATTATAATTTCCTGGCTGACACTTTTTTAAATTATTTGAAAAGTTATTAACTAAAAATCCACCAAGACAATCCGGAGAATAAACTCGCGTTTTGAGTGGGTTTCTGTGCAATACTGTTTCGACCGAAAGCCATATATTTAGAATGTGTATTTTTAACTGCGGATATAAATAGTCGATGTTAAAAATTCTAGGCGTACATCACATATACACAGTCATATATGCATTATATAAGTGTTCGGCATCAGCTTTATTGTTTGCTGACTTAATTGGCAAAATTTTCGGGTGGGAGTACGCAGTTAATGATGCATATAATATGATGGCGAGGTAAAGACTAGCTGACGCCCGAGTTTTGTTGTTTATTGCATATACTGGGCGATACAAATTTGGTGCGGTTTAAAAATATGTGAACAATGTGAACCTTTGTTAAGGCATCTAAGAATGAATTTTCGTTGCTAACGGGATATCTTGAACATTTTTGCATACAAATTGTTATTATAGTTGCGACATCTCAAAAAATTATCCAAATTGCAAAAAATCAACTGGGTTCTGCTTATTAATTCCTGTGTATTCCTTTGTACTCCATGTACTTATTCAGTGTACAAATTTGGCTGGCGATTTACCCCTTGATTTTTGCTTAACTTAGATTTTCCAAGTTGATTTTCATTAAATTTCCATTTTGTTCTTTTTCACTGGAAAAGTTTGAAATTTTATTATAATAAGCTCTTACCTTTCTTCTTTTTGTCCTGAAAGTTTCACAATTTTCCCTTCAGTAATTTTCCAGAAAAAAAAATTAAAATTAAAGAACGAGGCGTAAATGCCAATGTGTTCTTGTGAGAAGCCTCATGTCATCCCAAGTATTCATATTTCCTCATGTAATCCAATGTATTGTTATGTATGCCCCATGTATTCTTATGTATTCCTTCGTATTCTCATGTATTTTTATGTATTCTTTTGTAGTCATAATGTATTGCTTTGTATTCCTTTGTACTCCATGTATTCAGTGGACAAATTTGGCTGGAGGTTCAACCTTGATTATTGCTTGAATTAGATTTTGCAAGTTGATTTTTCCCGTTTTGCTATTGTTTGCTGGAAAAGCTTGAAATTTCAGTATGACGAGCACCTAGCTTTCCTCCTTTTCTTCTGAAAGTTTCACAATTTTCCCTTCAGTAGTTTTCCAGAAAAAAAAAACTGTAAGAGCGAGGAGTAAACGCCAATGTATTCCAGTGTACAAGCCTCATGTTATCTCATGTATTCCTATTTTCTCATGTAATCCAATGTATTCTTATGTATGCCCTACCTATGTATTCCTTTGTGTTCTCATGTATTTTTATGTATTCTCATGGATCCGGGGTCCCCATGTATTTTCATGTACTCCGATGTATTCTCTTGAAGTCACAATCTATTCATATGTATTTCTATGTATTCTTATGTATTCCTTTGTAGTCCATGTATTCAATGTACAAATTTGGCCCTGGATTTTTGCTACATTTAGATTTTGCAAGTTGATTTCCATTAATTCCCCATTTTGGTATTTTTTCCTGGAAAACTTTGAAATTTTAGTATGATGAGCTTCTAACTTGCCTCTTTTTCTCCTGAAAGTTCCAAAATTTTTCCTTCAGAAGTTGAAATGAAATTTTCACTTTTTATCGCCAACTGTACTACGGGAGAAGGATTATTCAAAGACAGTTTTTTTCTGGCATCTGGCATCAAATGCATTGGGTTGAATGCATAAAAAGTAGTACTTATATGTTAATGCTTCGAGTATTTACAACAAGCTTGAAGTTTATACTACACTAACGAATCATTTACTACTCTCGGTAGTTAGTAGAATATGCTACAGAGAGTATAGTAGATGCTTTAGGAGTGTAGTATAAACTTCAAGCATATTGTAAATACTTGAAGCATTAGCATGTACTACATTTATTCTTTCCACCCATTGTGTATGGCACAACCAAATTGACATGGGTCTAAGGCAACAAACACATAATCAATACTGTGTTGCTGCAGATGTGTAGAAAAGCAGAAAAAGCAACTGGCCCTTGGCACTTCTGCTTGTCGGCGGCAAATCTGAATTATCTATATTCTTTGCATGATGATACATGCAGAATCTGAGTTCATCTAAAGATTTACAAGGTAACCTTTTTTCGTAGCATAGGATGCACCATGAAGGGCTGTTTTTTTTACTCGTTAATCTGACCCATATAGTGTGTGGGTGGCTCGAAGCAAAGAACTCATTCGCCAATGTTTTGGTTAATATCAAGAACAGGCTAAAGTCGCGTGGAATAACCAACTCCAACTCCAGTGCGCACCAAAATTCCTGAATATCAAGTTGATGAGAAGTAGTTCAGTAACAAGCAATTTAATTGTGGGTGGTTTACTTGCATTCCATTTGCACAGATGTATGTTCAATTGAATGATACCTCATCTTTTTCATCACCATAAAAGACAGTAAAGGTATGGTTGGTATCTATACTACATGCACATGGTGTATCAGTCGAAGAAGCTATCAAGGTATTAGCAATGAACACCTGTAAGTTCAATTTGTTCTCTGGTGATATCCAAAACTGCTGAGTTGGACAGGCAATGGAACATCTCCAGATGTGTGGAAAATATGTACTAATACTCTCGGGGGAAATGAGCCCAACGGGAACGAGAAAAATGAACTTTGGAAGGCAATGGATGGTAAGTCATTCCGACAATAATATTTTGTTTCTTATCAATAATACTTACCTATATTACATATTATGTTCAATATTTCTCCTGGTTCTGGGGGAAAAAGGGGATAAAATTGATGATGTATCAACATAAGTATGAGCAGATTTGTGATAGCTTGGCTGCCATCTTGAATGACCCCATATTTGGAAAATGTACCGGGTGGTGGATGTCCAGCCAAGCTCAAAATACTTACTAACACACCTATTGTCTGTCGATTTTAGTCTGATACTGCGAAGGAATGTGAGCTGGTAGCTCCCTACATAAGAACGCCAATGGTTACCTGACGTCACACCTATTTTTGCCATATGAAACACCCCTTCGCTCCTCATACGAAAAGTGTCAGATTAAAAACGACGGACTTTACTAAACATCTCTTTAAACTTTCTTGCAGGACTGCAGTCAGGTCCGTCCGTGACTAATTATAGTACTCCCAGAATCTTCCTGGGTCATCCCTCCTTTTTCCATTACCTACCGCAATCTTGAAAATCCAGTCATGAAAGGATTTATGAGAATTCAGCCGAAATACATATAGTCCGTTGCATGGTTCTTGAGCTACGACTACTAAATAGACAGAGGGGACAATGGGCTATTGCTGTGTTGTCATATCAATAATATTTATTATTACATGAAAATGAAAGAAATTTTATTGCAATTTTCATGTATTAATGAATATTATTGATATGACAACGCAATAATAGCCCATTGGCCCCTCTGTCTATTCAGTAGTCGTAGCTCAAGAACCATGCAACGGACTTTAGTTAAAAGTAGGCCTAACCGCGATTCGATAGTTTTATATATGAGATTTTATGGATAACTATCCACACTAACCTGGATTATTGCACAAAGTCTTCTCTTGTTCATCAATCATAAATTCATAAAACCATAATTCTTCTAGATTTCAGTTATATTCCTTCGTGTTAAATCTTTCTTCATCGACCTGCTGGAGTTTCTGAATGGTAGAATTTAAGTTTTCATTTACTAAGGTGCTTACGGAAATTTGACTTTTGAGTAAGTTTCAGATTATTTGCCGTCTGTAGACTGTAGAGTCTTAAGTTTTCTGTAATGAATTTGAAGAAAATTTCTATTCCATTGATCAGTACGCCCTTAATTCATAAGTTTATATAGTCTACTGAATCAGCAACTCTTAAAGGTTTTTTTCTTTTGAATCAAGAGTGTCCATTTGTTACTTGATACTTTGATATTAGACAGCTAGCTGTATTGTCGTAAAGAAAAATAGAAAAAATAATGGACTGGTCCAGGGCCGGTTCTAGCCCTTTGGCCGCCCTCGTGCAAGAGCTTGTTTTGCCGCCCCCCATGAGGAACTTTTTGCTTTGGGGGAGGGGAATTTTTCACAATAGCTTTGTTTTGGTTCGAAATTTGGAACGGTTCTGGGATTGCGCAGAGCTGCTTGCGCACAAAAAATAATAGATGACTGTTCTAATATTACCTATGTAGTTCTGAACCGATTCGGAACCAAAGAAACACAGAACCAAAGAAATCAAAACATGTCACAAATCGCAAAATTCTAAAATAGTTCCTCCTTCCGAGCAAGAACTGAGAGGACCGTTCTAGAACCATCCCAGAACTGAACCTAAATAGTTCTACATAAACCAAAACACTGTCAGCACCTTCGTCAACACAGTTCGATTACGATTCTGAAAAAACCGAAAACGCGTTTTATAATATACGCATGTGCAGAATGATTCTGAACTACTAGTTCTGCGTGAAACCAAAACAAAGCTAATAATATTTTTACCGCACCGTGCGGGAAAACTCATTTTCCGCACGCATATCAGTGCGGAAATAGTTATTTACCTAACAAATGCGGAAAGTAATACTTTACCGCACGCAACGGCAGCAAGCCGTTAAGGGCGGTAAAGGCACTTTCCGCATGTGTTAGGTACAAAATTTTACCTATGAGCATCTAAATCTCTAAAAAAAGGCATTGATAAAATTAAATATTGAATCAGATTAATTAATGAAATTAGATTAGATATAGAAATGATCAAAAATCCTGTTGTGGAAACAGCCAAACAACAGTATTTATTTTTTATGATCACAGTGGCAACGTTGCAAAAAAGCCCCCCGCCGTGAAAAACTTGCAAAATGGCGCCGTACCAGGCTGTACGCATCGACCCAGTCTGGTTGTTTGTCGCTAGGGGAAAAAATGCATTCCCTCTATTTTTCACTTCGCAGTGTAATTTGCGATTTTAGTAGTGTGGTTTCACTAGCAGTAAATAGTGCGTAAAAACGTCTAGCTCTATACAAGTTTGAACCTGCTCACTTTTCTCTAATTATTTAATTATTCTCTCTAGTTGCACCCTTGTGCAGTCTCTCTCTCTCGCTCTCTAAATAAAAAGACTTATTTTTTTTATCTCTCTGGCTGCTGGCTTGAAAACTCAAGTGATATAATATCGCGTAAAAACATTGAGTTAATCACACTCCCCTTTTTTAAGGGCTCTCTAAAAATATAAAAACTCTCAACT